GAAATTCCATAAATAAGTTGCATAACCCAGTTAAGCATATTGGTGACCATTACCAAACTGCTCAATATTTTGAATCATAACTTTCAGACATGGCAAACAGGGCATTTTGTCACATTTTGAGATTAAATTTACATACATTAAATTTACATTATAATCAATTTTGTTTTTGGTTTTCAATGAAATCTGGGATTTCTCCTTAACAATATTTGTGACATGGTTGACATGAAAATGTATTCTACACTATAACATGTGAAAAGCTCAAACTCTACATGTGGAGGATTATAATCTTAACTATCAACAGTTTTATTTTAAAGTCAAATGGTTGATTAAAACTGTCTTAAATGTAGCAATATGCACACAAATTACTACATTTTTAGTCTGAATATTTGAACGGAGAGGAAAGCCAATCCTAGCTCAAATAGAATGGTTCAGCCATGCTTGTTTATGTTCTAACACAATTTTTTATTGGTTCTTGAGCAAATAACATAATGCTACTTTCCTCAATTGTGTAGGAAAAGTTTGAGGAGATAATGTTATTGATAACAACACAGATTTCTGAAGCACCTTGACAACCTCTCTATATTAACATACATAATCTTGCCTGTACAATATACTACACTACAACAGTCACATTGCTGCAATGTAAATAAGTTTTAGAGAGTGCGGCAATGGTTGAATGGTCATACAAGCATACGGCTACAGTGTACACCACCAATGTTACCTACCTCGTCAAAAAACACCTAAAAACTTTTCCTAAGAAGTTTCTTTGATTGAATAAAGGGTCCACAAAAGGCAGTAGAATATCCTTTCACAGTGAAAGTAGTCCAAAGATGGTGTAAAGAACTAGTTGAAAGAGTCTGTGTAGGACAGAACTCCAAGGTTTGTCAGTGAAATCTGATCCTCTTCTTCAACCTACAGTTACTGTGAAGCCATATTTATTTTTCACTGTGCTAAAAATAGGTTGTTGGTAGACTCTCTATCATACCCCTGCTGTTTTCTTCAACTTTGTTCAAAGTTGTTAAGTTATTCATTTGAGGGTAGGCTGACAATTTAACAAACATGAGTTAAATAAAAAATGTAAATCAATCAAAAGCAAAGCCTAAAACCCTGTATTTTTCATAAATGTAATAAACCAATTTATCTTAAAGCCCCTGATAGGCCTAAAAGTTAATTATATTGTTTAAAACCATACACAATCATAATTATTTTTTTTTTTTTTTAAATTATGGTCCAAATAAATCAATTTTCAATGAAGTTGATGCTATTTAAAAGTTTACATTGGTTCTATTGATTTTATACAGCCATCTTTATGTGTCTTAAGAAATACAGTAATAAAAATTCCACATTATCCATACAAGCTAGCCCATTCTTCATGCAATATTTTTTTATACTCAGATATGGTTAATTACATAATAACAAGTATTCCGAATGATCCACTCAATTCATTTTTTTCAACAAATCAACAAAAAATAAACCATAAGAGATTTTACAATTAAGTCGTCATTTATTTATTTTTGGAATGTATAGCATCTTGCAGCTCACATTTTTTTCCCACTTTTAAAAGCTTACCAAAAGCTAAATAAGCTTTGAATATATAGTATAAGTTAAAGTCAAAACAACCTTAATAACTTAAGTCAACTGTTAAAATCCAGACTAGATCTGGTATTGGCTTTAGTCCATCTTCTAGAAGCGTAAAAAATAAACCCCAAACATTAATACATTACTTCATTATCGTAACTTGTAGGATATTGACATCGGTTTTACAAAACATACAGAAATAACTAACATATCTAAACAGAAAAATAAACAAACAGAAAAATAAACAAACAATATTGAAATATAGTGTAACATAACAAATTCTTACATCTTCTGGGAGGTCCAAATTCTTTAGTTACAATACAGTTGACATTGAAGTTCAAATTTAAAGATTTATTAAAATGATATGCAATTGAGGAAAATCCTTTTAACTAATTCAAATAGAACAAGATTACACAAAGTAACAATAATCATGGTTGACTAACTTTTTTTATGTGACTAAGCATGTCATCACTGAATGTACAAATACTGAATGTAATAAATCAGTAGGACGTTAAACACCCATTTCATTTATGTAATAAATCCTAAAGGGGTGGGGAAGGAGGAAGCACTACTAAAAGACAAAAAGACCATAAAACTAAAGGCAAAAATCCAGATCATAGTAAATAAACTTCCTAAATTGGAATCAATCAAAATAATAACCAATAGTGAAATAGTAACAAGTGTCTTGAAAAGATTAAGCATACACTGCCCCATATACAGTACTTGACAAAATTATAACTTTATTATAGGCAATGTTCTATTCTGATTAATTTTCAGCTTTCAAATAATCACACTTTTCGTTAATTATTTAAATTCCAATAGCTACACTACTATAAAGAGTTATAAATTGGATACATATATGTATATACTTGTACTTTAATTTATGTCTTATAAGAAGAAGAGGTAAATATAGGTATATATACTATACATTAAAACATGATGTCAATGTAAACTGGTATGTAAGCAACAAAGTTCAAGAAAAACAAGTTTTCTCTAAAGTAAATACATCTTTTGAAAGAAGATCTACATGTTCAAACTATGTACTCTCTTTTTTTAGTCGATTAAGCAGTTTTTCACCTTTTAAAATAAGCTTGCATTTGAATATGGAAAATGATTTTTCAGATACAAATTATACTGATAGAAAAATGTTTCATGTAATCTGTGTTAAAATATGACACAAAGGCATTTGAAATCAATCATCAATAATTCCACAGTCATGACCTACTTACTATACTGGACCTGAAACGATTCAATAACTGAGCAATTACAGAGTGTATCAAAAATTTATACATTTACTGAATCCCAAATAATCGACTTCAAAAACATGTACCAGTAGCCTACTGTTCAGATTTTTTTTTTCTGACGAGATAATCATGATTTTGCGCTTAAATAATGATAAAGCGTCTGACAATTGCTTTATATTTTATTTTGATTTCCCTAATCAACCATTTTCTGCTGAGATAAATCATCTATCAATTCTGAACTTGATAGGGTGTCCATTAAAAATGGATAAGATGAAACCAATAAGATTTCCATCATCCCTGCTGTGTTGTATTAAAATAGCCAGACAGCGTATTTTTTTTGTCATCAATAAAACAGCCAATGATTAATGTTCTCAGATACCTTTCGATAAAATACATCGTTATGGTTATATCGAACACCCACAAGATTATTAAATTAACTGTCTCCAGAAGCAAAAATATCCATAATGATTTTTCTATTTTTGACAGCATCAATAATTGTTATCTTGACATAAATATCAAACAATATATAGAAAACCATATTAATGACCATATGAAATTTCAGTTGAGGATTCTTCTCATTGGAATATTTTTAGTAAATGTAACTTATTTATTTTATTTAAATAGTTTTTAATATAGGTGGCTTATTGAGGGATTGAAATTGTGATTGGAGGGGGATAGGAGGAAGAGGAGGAGGAGGGGGTGGTGGTAGTGTAGCCCCCGGGTCACTTGTTTCCCCTCTTTATAAATGTAATTTAATTTTAATAATCACCACAAAGTTCTAATAATGAATCATCAAAAATAATTGTTGTCTGTCCAAATGGTCTCTGTTAATGATCAGACAAAACAATCTGATCATTGTTTATTGTAATTTACATATAACAGATAACGATGGTCATTTCTAATCATTACTGCCTCTACAAGACGACAAGAGGCATGTCAAATAATATCTTACAAAAGCACTTTATGATTCTTAATACCAAGCTTTATGAATATGATGGAAGTTTGAATTCTTTCGAAGGTGTTCATTTTTTGAAAAATATTTATCAAAGATTCATAAAAGTGAGATATTTTTTGTTATATTACAACATTATTTGTAACACAGGTACATGAACCAATTTATATTAATTAAGTAAGTGTTAATTACCTGTATAAACATAATGTGTTAATTGGCTAATTAAGATCCAACAAGATACTGGATACACATCTACTACACAAGTTTGTGAATTACAATGTGTATTGATAAAATAAATAGGTGTATTGGGGGTGTTAAACACAAATTGGTCTATGTGTATTCAAAACTATCCCCCATACATGCATGTGTCTATGTGTATTCTAATTTATCCCATATATACTACAGTAATATTGGCTGGTCTGTGCATTGGTTATTGTCCTGTTGAACAGTTTGACTTACATTTATTGGTCTTTGAAAATAAAAGCAATCTCAATCTTCACACCGAAAATGTTTTCAATCTAACTAATTGTTTTATAATGTATAGATCTGTGTTTTATCTATATCCATATTCGAGTTTTTGTGTGTGCAATTTATCTTTGTTTTATTGCTCTATTTTAAAGAAATATATATATACCATGTCTAAGCTTTGTGGAGTGCCTTAGAGTGGTAATTGACTGGATTTTATTGCACTATATAAATGAATACATTATCATTAATTAGTATTATTATCTATTTAAATCACTGTGTGTGCATGGGGAATTGAATCCCAAAAATATAAAACAGATATCAGCTGATATTAGTGCTTTCGGATCACCAGAGTAATTTATTAATACACATCATTTAAATGGCAACTGTTTAAGAGAAAAATCAAAATCCCTGTGTGCTCGTGCTCTAGACTTAAGATTATCAATATAGAACAAACAGTAAGCTTTAACACAAAGGTATATTTTGTATCAATAATAAATCATTCTTATTTGTTTTACAATAAATGTGTGGATACTGCATGTCTGAAGATCTAATTTTTTCTATGATAAATGTCTATACTGAAAGTCTGACAAGCTATAATAAATTAACATGAACATAAAATTCTGTCACAATGTTTAAGTGTGATGTAATTCTGGTTATTAAAAATGTAGATAGATCAACAAGTAATCTGGTATGATCCACATATCCATGTCTGAGTCACTGAAGTGGACTATATATTAAAGAAATTTAAATGTACTTACCAGTTCATTGCTCATTTGAGGAACACATGTTGTCATCACCTGCAGAAAAAAAAATCAAAAACATTAATTAAAATTCAATAAATCAATAGCCGAATAATTAGCAACAATAACAAATAAAGGTGAGGAAGCACATATACTTGGTCAGTGCTGTTTTTAAAAACCAGATGAGGTCAATTTAAAAATGAGCCGGTTTTTGTGACTACGTTGTCTTAACCAAAATCAGTACGTAACTGAGTTATGTTTTCGTGCTTACATATTATGCCCAATAAATATAGCAAAATGTACACTGCTTTTTACTGTAACATTGTCCTAATCAATGCATAAATTTATATATTCTAGTCACAATCCCATTCTCAATTTTTTTCCTGATATATCAAAGCATTATCCACAACAATGTTTATTTGAAGATTTTTAAAACTAATACATTATGTCACTGGGCGTTGTCTTCACGAACAATAAATACATGACATTCTCATTACATAAACATATGGCATGCTGATCTTTATGATTCTCTCCTGCCATGTTGCTCCTGGCAACCACTTGCTGATCTGAAGGTAGTTCTGATAAATACTACTTGCTAAAGATAAAACACCTGATAAAAGGCCATATAAAGTTGCTGAAAATTTCGTAATTCCTCAATTCTGTAAACATTTTTGGGGTCAGACATGTAGTGAACTTCATGTCTTTGTGTTTAATTCAAGAGCAATTTTTAATGAATGATACTGTCGGTCCATGTTTCATGGACACTAGGCTATGCATTATAAACATACAAATATTTGACACTGCAGTGGTTAATTAGAGAGAGAGAGAGAGAGAGAGAGAGAGAGAGAGAGGTGGAAAGAGATAGAGGGAGGGTTTAACATCCACGCAACACATTCTAGGATTAACATGATACATGTACCAGTGTGATAGACTGGAGGAATCTGGAGAAGGTTCAGCAACCAACCATGATATTCGTTGTCCTTGCACCGAAACCACACGAAATGGCTCAATGCCATCACCACTTAATGGTTACTGGTAATGAAATTGAACCAATTCAATTTTTCACAAATTTTAGTAAAATCAAGGTTGTTGGACATTTTGTATACAAACAGTTTGTATAAATCACAAATGCCACATAATTTAGAACTCATCTGAAATAACTATTGGGTTTGTTCATCTCCAATGACATGGAATTTGACACAGAATTCATAATTGGCTATATTATCACTGCTATGTTGCCACATAAACATCATAAATTTCTGTAGCATTGTTAATAAATTTGTAACATTATTTCAAAGTAGTTTATTGATTTCATAATTAGTTGTCATGTGATAATCTCTCATTTTGACCTTCATGTGAGCATGACTAAAGAACATAAAAATTTGTTACTTTGAGGGATTTCAAAAATATATTAATTAAAAACCAGGATACGTAGCCTACACCTTGCTGATCTATCAGGCTGTTCCCTAAAAGACATTTAGCCTCAGATTAAATTCTTACTGGGGCGAAATGATTTAATTCCTGAAGTTTTTTTTTAACAAGGAGAGTATTTGGGAGACTATCAACTTGAATATTCCTGCTAAATTATTAGCAGTGCTAATAATTCTGTTATTGGTCTGTCCAAAGTTTATAATTGCTGGCTGTCATTTATCCCTGAAGGTGATAAAAAGCTGTCACAAGAAGAGGCTATAACCTTGTCATTTTAAACTAACCTTTTCGACTTACCTTTTTAGAGCTGTTGCAGCAGCAGTTGAATTTAAGGTAGTTTATTTGCCCCGGTTTTGTGTTCAGATGTCACAGCTAAGCAAGCTTAAAATAATTGTTATTTTAACTGTGCCCATCTGAACAACATAAAACCCTGTGTATATGGAAAGTAGAATGAATTGAACTAAAAGTGCACAGAGTCAAACACATCATGTTTTTATGCTGCAATTCATTTCCCCTTAAATTAAACAGATTTCAGATAACTGTAAGAATTATCACTTGTATCACCTTCAGATAGTGCCAACTGTGAAGACCAGACAGAAAAGAAAAACAGAAGTGAGCAGGCATACATGTTTAACAAAATACAGAAATAGATGACAGATATAAAACCTGAAACACCAAGAGTTAGAAATTAAGAAGTTTTGGTTGATTTCCAAGTTAAATTGTTTTTCTTTAAATAATAATAATAAGAGAGAGAAAGAGAGAAAGAGAGAGGGTTAAGCATCCATCCAACACAAACCAGGTCATTTCGGGACTATCATATTTCAATAATTCACTGGTGCGTACAGGTTTTCAGTTGTGGGAGGAAACCAGATGACCTGGAGAAAACACACAAGGTTGGACAGGCGACCATACTTCTTGTCACATACAAGAGTGGGATTGAAACCTCAATAAAAGACCTTATGATCTAAAGTGCATGTGATAGAAAGAATAAAAAAAACATAAAAAAGTTTTAAAAAACTAAGCCTTGGGAACACTCAGAATCCTGAAGATAATATTTGAAAAATCCAAATGCAATTTCAAAGCAAAATTATTTTTTTAGACAGCCTGTTCCACATTGCTCACACCTTGCTCATCAGAAATGTGCAATTATAAACAATGCCACAAATTAGAATTCTTTAAGCAACAGAAATGTTTATGTCTCGGCAAAAAAAAAATAATCCCGCCTGGAGAAAACTTTTAGCCATCTAACAAAATTATCAAGTTTATTAGCTAATGTTTTTTGGCACCAGGATGCCGATTTTTATCTGTCAAGAAATAAATATAGCGATTGGTATTAACTAGACACCAAATGTAGCCTAGAGTGGAATGGCAACTATTCCTGATTTAAGCCAGGTGAAATATGAGCTGTATAATGTCATAATAAGATAACAAGACATCACCTGCAAGGATACAAGAACCTTTAAATCTACCTACTATCTTTATATGGCACAACAAATTTATCTTTTCTGTTATTATTTGTGATAATGGTCAGAAATTATTATCAAGATGTTCCAATCTGTTCCGGAACAAGATTACTTTTCATTCCTGCAAAAACCAACACTGATGAAATTTTTAAACCTGTTAAAAGTATTACCCAAGGCATGATTCTCCATTACTAACAACAGAAAGCAATATTAGACCCAACTACATATAACAATAAAAAGAAAACACAGGATTTGAACCGTGTAAACAAGTTGAAACCATACTCTGTCAGACTGATTCAGTCCCGAAGAGAAAATGTCCACTGCCGTGAGGTGGTCTCAATCTGGAATCAAGTGTGTTATAATTAACTTGCAGGTTATTTCAGTAAAAATACAAACCTTATTTCCCTCAAGATCTTGACCATGGCCAGCTAGCTTAAATTAGCTTTTCTGAGAAGAATCATCCTAAGAAAAGTGTAAATGGGTACAACTTCTTGAATTACTTGGGGGAGGTCTGACAGAAAAGTGACAGACTGCACGTAGAGATACAATACGAATCTGTCGCAGTGTTGTGGACATGTTACATTTACAGAGTTTTCTTCAAATATAAACAAATACAAGCATACTATGGACCAGGAACCGAGGATGGCATCATTTGCATCATTGGAATTTTCAGATCTTATCATAAATCCAAATCTGCCAATTGATGCATATTTGTCCAAGGAAGTTTTTTTTTGAGGAGCGTCACCCCCAAAGTGAACAACAAGAATTAGCACTTGGGGATCAGTACCTGGTCCAAAAATGCATTCACAGTCGATAGAGTTTCTACAGGTCATCTGTCTGTGTGATATTATTTTTTTTAACTGCGATAATTTATCGTAACTTTAACATGGTCGAATTGTAAAATCAATGAAATATCTTTAGAATAATAAACAACAGACACTGTTGTGTTAGACGAGTGATCGATTGGCATAACAACTATATTGCTGGCAGACAGCCAACCTTAGACCTGAACACCAAGCTATATTTCAACCAATAATTATTATTATTTATACTTTATTTTGTTTAGAGATAAGTCCTATTGGTAGTTTGTCACTGACTGGTCACTTGACAAACCCATATTAATCCACAAATATATCAAGATCAACTCCCCACTCAAAATGATTTTATAAGACACTATACAACCTACGAAAATGTGTCATCTCAGTGCAAAAAGATTATAGGTCAACCAATATGTGGGGAAGGACATAAATTCAAACAATTATTTGCCCCAGCAAATATGTTAAAGATTTCCAGTGCCATTCTAAAATGGTAACTCTACGGAAGTACAAGGGTGACAAATACAATATTTATGTTTACACAAATGAGAAAATTCAAACCTATGTCATAATAACACATTGTTCTCAATTTTCAAATGGACTAAACTGACTATAAAGATATTTTTAGAGAAGTTTAATGAAAATTTCTTAAGAAGTCTGAAATCTGGTGCTTTGAATATTTTTAGTAGCAAACTGCCTTTCAATGCAAATATTATGCAAAATATCCTTTCAGTATCTCTTCAATGTATTAATTAACACTATCTTTATATCTTATATTGATAAGCTCATATTTATCCTGCTACTTTTCTCCACTTATCGATTTCTATATGACCTTATTGAACCCTGATTGTGATTGTCCTCGACAACCTGCAAACTAAATCCTAAACAGTTAATGGAAGAACAGTAGCTCATCAATAATAGAAACGTATAAACAGCTCATTGCTGGTTTACTAATTATACATTTACTGTCATACACCACTGGGATCCATTATGACTAATAATAGTCAAATATATTACAATCAACCTGTGTGAAACCACAACATAGAGGTCTGATTCAGATATCCTGCAATTAAGTTAATTAGCTCCCAGCAGTATACCATTCAGAATTTAGACATTACAGATACTTGAAGGTCACCGATTTTGTTGCTAATCTAGGATAATATATAATGAAGTGTGCATTATATTTCTCTTTCTATTCTAGTTCATGTGAATCTACAAGTTGAAATAATTATATTCCTGCTATATTTATGCAAGATTTATAAATAGGTGTGGTCGAGATGTGGGCGGGGCACATCATATAAATGCAACTTTTGTTTTTGGAGTTAAATACTAAAAAAATAGAATTATGAAT